AACGAGAAGGTGTCTCACTGCCTCTCTCTGAGTGATGAACCCAACAAGTGTGAACAGGGAAGGAAGGCCATATTCAAATTATTTCCTGAGGCTACTGACTACATCCATGCATTCTCCTCTGTCTGAATTTGGAGCTGCCGAGACCTTTTCCACCCTAAGAAGCCCCCACATGATGATGGCTTGTGTCTCCGCTCCAAATCCAAAATTTCTTCAACGTCCCGTGTTTTGTCTTAAAGCTGCGTGTGAATTTTGAATGTTGACCCCATGGAACTCCATTTACTTTAGTGGAACTTTTTTCTGTCCTATCTTTCAGTAAAATGGTCCCCTCAGGAACAGGCATGTTGACAAGCACCAAGACCTGCACCAGCTTCGGAGACCTTATTGGAACGGTCTGACCTTAATCCATCTGTCCCCAAATCCTGCAAGTACCACCTGGCGGCCCCATGTGGCCACCCAGCTAAGGCGGCAGATCAGCCGGTCTGGCAGGACATCTGCTCCCAGCATAGGAAGGCAGGCCTCAGGATTGCTGCGAGCCCCAAAGGTCATGGGGGGTTCACACACCCCACTGCACATACACCAGCCTCTATCAGAACCGACCGTGTGAGCGGTCACTAACCTCAAGTTATGCTCATTACCGCTGAGACTGCCCCTGGTCACCTCTGCCCAGCACGTCATGACCCTCCGGTCCAGGGGTTGCAAACTGGAGGTCCAGGGACTAGTTCATTTGGTTCTCAGGGTGTGATTTTTTTCCCCTTTTGAACTATGTGCCAATATTTAAAAACTCAAATATCAGAAGATTAAAAAAAAGAAAAATAAAAAGGAGAGAAAAAGATCAGATCTCCATCTTCTGGAAAAAAACCAAAAAACCGAAGGTCCCGCAATCCTGGCTGTGCCCCCACGATGAGGCAAACTGCACGTGGTCCCTCTGGAGAGAGTATGCGCTCTGTACTTCCCCACTGTCCCCACCACTCCCTACTGCCCCCCAGCACCAGGTCTGGTCCCCTCCACTCTTTCCTGAGCCGGCCTGGCCTCTGTAAGCCTCACAGTGGGCCAGTCCTGCTCCAGTCCAAAGCTCCCAGTACAAGAGGGGAATCTAAACCCCAAAGATGTTAAATGACCCGCCCTCGTTCAAAGGCCCAGTTAGTTAAAGCTAAACCATGTGGCAAGTTGCTTTTAATGTTACAAAGACCATCTCTGTTTCAGAGAAACAACATCACATTTCTACCCCAGCTTTTCTCCAGGGAGGGCAGGGTTCTAAGAAAAGAGAGAGAATATTGTCCTTGCTTAGCCTGGAAAAGTACATTTAAAATATCTGCTATCTTCCTAATCAAACCTCAGGAAGCTCATGGACTCTAGGCCGATACGGCTCAGAGGAGGAGGAGGGAGACCTTGAAGGGGTAGAAAGCCTGGCTCCCGCCAGGGCCTGCCCAGCGTTGCAGCCCCCTACCAATGCGGCTAAACCACTGGGACCCTTGCCTTCCTGCATTTTGGGGGATGCTTTCCCAAAGGCCACCCCACCCAGTTCCAACTGCTCGATCTTTATCTGAGGTCTACGGAGGGACATCCGGGAACCTGAAAACAGGTGCACAGGATAGTGGGGCTCAATTTATGACTTAAACTACCCCTTGTTGGCAGGGAGAGCCACCTAATCAGACACCCAGGCCACCTAATCAGACACCCAGGGACAGCCACGGGGCCAGAGCTGGACTCGGCTGAACGCCTTATTTGTTTTTGGGAAACCGTTGGTGCCAACAAAGTCAGATTAATAAATACCTTTAGGGTTCCCTCTCCCAACAGACTCCAGAAAGGGCCACTCTGAACTTTTAGGTCAGGTCACTTCGAAAATCATTAACAACCCCACCCTACCCCCACCCTGCCAGCTCAACAAATGCTAACTTGACAATGAGCTTGAACCACTGGGTCTCAGAGGCTGTTTGCTGGTGTCATTAAAAGAGCAAGACAGGGGCGCCTGGGTGGCGCAGTCGGTTAAGCGTCCGACTTCAGCCAGGTCACGATCTCGCGCTCCATGAGTTCGAGCCCCGCGTCGGGCTCTGGGCTGATGGCTCAGAGCCTGGAGCCTGTTTCCGATTCTGTGTCTCCCTCTCTCTCTGCCCCTCCCCCGTTCATGCTCTGTCTCTCTCTCTATCCCAAAAAAAAATAAACATTGAAAAAAAAAAAAATTAAAAAAAAAAAAAAAAAAAAAAAAAAAAAAAAAAAAAAGAGCAAGACAGACCAAAAAACAAAAAACAAACAAACAAAAAAACTACCCTGGTTTGTGCCTTAGAAACGCCAAGGCTCCTGTTCAGAGAGAGCCTCCCTGACTGGCCTGTTTCTAAGGCTACACCACACTGTCAACCTCTAGCCCATTTCCTTTTCATCGACACCCTAGAAAGCATCACCTCTGACATGACTGGACTTGTTTGCTGTTAGGAAGGTCCCCCCCACAAGAGATTAAGCATCTTGAAAGCAGGGATTCGTTTGCACTGCCAGCAGCCTTCTCCTCTTGCACCTCAAACAGTGCTGCTACTTCCTAGGCACTCAAGAAATTCACTTCCTGGGTGAATGACAGGCCAATCAACTGTAGTCTGCTCCTGGGGAGCCACAGACTCAAGGCTGCCTGCCTGCCCCCCAGAGCCACAGGGCTGGCCTCTCAGAAGTGTCAACCAAAACCCGTAGCCACAAATCACACCAGGGGGAAGGTGCCTACACCCTTCCCGGCACAGCAAGCCCAGCCCATGGCCTACACTCCTGAATCAGAGCCCCTCCTGAGCTGTGCCGGCTACTACACTGCAGACCTGATGGTCCCCAGGTCCAGATTTCTCTGGGGACAGGGACATTGCCAGACATTTTAAAAGATGAAATGTTGGGGCACCTGGGTGGCTCAGTTGGTTAAATGTCTGGCTCTTGATTTTGGCTCAGGTCACGATCTCATAGTTTCATGAGTTTGAGCACAGAGTCTGCTTGAGATTCTCTCTCTCTGTCTCTCTCTCTCTCTGCCCCTCCCCCACTTGCACTCTTTCTCAAAAATAGGTAATAAATTTTAAAAAGTTTAAAAATAATAAAATAAAATACAAGGTGAAATGTTGTGGGGCGCCTGGCTGGCTCAGTCAGTGGAGCATGCGACTCTTGATCTCAGGGTCATGAATTCGAGTCCCACGCTGGGTGTAGAGAGTACTTAAAAATAAGTAAATAAACTGGGGCACTTGGGTGGCTCAGTCGGTTGGGCGTCTGACCTTGGCTCAGGTCATGATCTCACAGTTGGTGAGTTCGAGCCCCACGTCGGGCTCTGTGCTGACAGCTCAGAGGCTGGAGCCTGCTTCGGATTCTGTGTGTGTCTCTCTCTCTCTTGCTCTGTGCCCCTTCCCTGCTTATGCTCTGTCTCTCTGTCTCTCTCTCTCAAAAATAATAAAAATTTTAAAAAAAAGAGAGAAAAAAATAAGTAAATAAACTTAAAAAAAGAAAAAAAAGGTGAAATGTTGTAAGTTTCCTAGTCTCCTCCGGTAACAATTTAGCTTCCACCCTGCTACAGAAGTAGCTGGAGGAGAGGTTCCCGGAAGCCTGGCCACCCCAGGACTTGCGCTCTCTGCTAGTCCACGAGTATCAATGCCTACACGAGGCACAACACTATTGTTCCCGAGTCAGCGGCAGGTTCAGGTGGTTGGTGATACTATCTTCTGGGCCTTTGCAGGATTTCACACGAAAAATGAATAAAAGTAATTCATGTCCTTCATAAAAGAACACCCAAACACTGGAGGCGGGAACATTACGGGTAAGAGTCACCTCCACCCCATCCCTGGGCTTGATCCCAAGAGGCAACTCTAACGGCTTCTTTCTTCATACTTTCTGGAAAAAGCCTATGCGTGCACAAAAGCGAACATACAAACCCTTTAAAATACACATACGGGGCACCTTCCTTTTCCCTCACCTAGTAGCTCAGACAGCTTTCCTAGGGAGCAAATACAGATGGATTCTGAAAGTTTACCCTAAGTTCATGATCAGAAACCCTCCTCCTGTCTTTCCTGGGTGCTCAGGTGAGCAGCCCGTGTGGAGGAGATGATCATGCCGCTTGTACATATCTGTGACCATCAGACTACTGCAGCTCTGTTGTGAACACCTGGTTTGGTGTATTTGTCTTTCCCAATAGCCTCTGGGCTCCCAAAGGCCTCCAACAGTGCAGGTGACCCATTGGGAACACCCATTATCCACATCCTGCCAGGTTTCCGGGTTCCCTGCCAGGTTTCCAAGCTCCAGGTCCCTACAAGCGCCCTGCATCTCTCTCTGAGTCTCCAGGGGGCACCTGTCTCACTTGGCCAGGCAGCAGGCACGGCGCCTACCCTGGCTCCCCGTGCAGAAGGTGGCATGGGGCTGACCCCCAGAGTGACCCCCAGAACTCTGGAGGAAGAATAAAGTCTGCACCCTTTATACACAAGGGGAGGCTGACACACTGCCTTGTGTTGCACTGAGGGGTGTAGGGAGGGCTTCCAGCTGCCTATGACACAGGTAAAGCTTCACTGAGTTCTATGCTTCGTAAGTAACTACTTCACCACCAGAGCATAATAATGAGGGCCCCAAGGCCATGGGATTGTACTGGGGCCTCTCATTGGAGGGCTGGACACTGGCAACAGAAATGTCCCTTTCCCTCCCTCCTGCCTTCCTTTCTACATCCAACACTTACCAAGCAGTGATTCTAGACCAGGCATGGTTTCTCCACTAGACAACAGAGAAAACAGACGGACAAGTCCCAGAGAAAGCAGAGAAAACAAACAGGAATGTGATCATTGGCTTCCCCCATCCCCAAACACACAAACAGGCGGGGTAAAATACTTGTCTGTAACATAATCAAGCTCCAGGCAAGGAAGGGCCTGCTCCAGGCGCCAGAAACAAGGAGGGAACCCAACGTTAAAACCGAGAGCTAGAGAGGAAGCCAAGCAGGCCGAGGAGTTTAGGGACAGATAGGCTCCGGGAGAGGCCGGCTCCCCGCTGAGGCAGCAGACACTTACTTCAGAAGGTTTTCTGCTCCTGTTCTCATCCTCACGGCTTTCAGGATCTGCTGGTTCAAGGCAGCCCTTTGATTCTGCAGTTTGCTTCGGCCAGTTTGTGCAAGGGGATTGCAACCCTAAAGGAAAATGAGAGATGACCCTTCAGAGGTCAGCCACTCTAAAAATGACAGTGTTTATGGGGCGCCTGGGTGGCTCAGTTGGTTAAGCGTCCGACTTCGGCTCGGGTCACGATTTCGTGGTTCGTGAGTTTGAGCCCCGCATCGGGGGGGCTGACAGCTTCGGATTCTGTGCTTCCCTCTCTCTCTCTGCCCCTCCCCCGCTCACACTCTGTCTCTTCCTCTCTCAAAAATAAATAGAACATTAAAAAAAAATAAAAATAAAAATGACACATTTAGAGGCACCTGGGTGTCTCAGTCGGTTGAGTGTCCAACTCTTGATTTCAGCTCAGGTCATGATCTAGTGGTTCGTGGGATGGAGCCCTACATTGGGTTCTGCACTGACAGCTCGGAGCCTACTTGGGATTCTCTCTCCCTCTCTCTCTGCCCCTCCCCTGCTCTCATGCACTCTCTCTTGCATGCACATGTTCTCTCTCAAAATAAATAAACTTTAAAAATAAAAATGACAACATTTAATGTAACAGAAATGTTTTAAAAACTAGCCTTTTCTGAAAATAAAAGTAACATCAAAATGGAAAATACACAAAATATTGAAAAGTATAAAAGAAAATAAAAGTCACTCATAATGATGCAACTCCAAAACAGCCACTGCGAATTGGTTTCTTTCCTCCTCATGTATTTTATGTGCATGTCATTATTTTCCATATTAGTGCAATGTTGGGAGTTCCCAAGACCAGCCCCACGTTCAGAGATTCACTAAGGCTCACAGGACTTAGCACATAGTTGCACTCGCAGCTATACGACAGCGGCTTAGTAAGGACCCAGAGCTGGATCACAGAGGAAAAGACATGGGTAGAGTGTGGAACAACCCATGTGCAGGCTTCCTTATGCTTCTCCCTCCCCTGGGGGGGGGGTCATGCAGAGCACCTTCTTCCCCCAGCAACAAAAATTCAGCAACATGAATGAGATGTCACTGTCCAGGTTAGAAAATCGATGCCCAGGGATTTTACCGGGAACTGATCACAAAGGCACCCCGTGCTGGCACGTGCCAAAATTCCAGACTCCGGGCAGGAACACTCCCAGCAGGTGTTCATCATAAACCACACGGTTGGTGCCATCAGTCTAGGGGAAGTGAGCCGACCTTGTCAGTTAGGGGATGGAGGAAACGCTCCCAAGAGCCAGGTTCCCAGATACCAGGCAGGGGACAGCCTTGCAAGCAAACCTCCCTGATAGCAGCCTCAGACCTGCTACATTAACTCTCTTCTGCAGACTGGCACATAACAGCTTATCCTAATTCCTCACTTAACACTCTATTATGAAACTTCCCTTTGCCATGGAATGTTTCTTGAAACCATGATTTTTAAAAAAAAAATTTTTTTTTTAACATTTATTTATTTTTGAGACAGAGAGAGACAGAGCATGAACGGGGGAGGGGCAGAGAGAGGGAGACACAGAATCGGAAGCAGGCTCCAGGCTCTGAGCCATCAGCCCAGAGCCCGACGCGGGGCTCGAACTCACGGACCGTGAGATAGTGACCTGAGCTGAAGTCGGACGCTTAACCGACTGAGCCACCCAGGCGCCCCGAAACCATGATTTAACAATTGCATAATACCATCTTTTTTAAAGAATTTACCATTTCCTTATAGTTAGACATTTACATTGCATCCAAGTATCTGCTATTATTTGGTGCATATTTGTAAACATGAATCTTGATGAACCTCTACTTTTCTTTTTAAGGTATATTTCTAGGGCAGGTATGGCCCTAGAAACCTCTTAAAGACCTCCAGTGCACCCCAGCCCAATTATCCTCCAAGAAAGAAAGCCACTCTCTGTTCCCTGCCCCTTCTCCCCACCAGCCTTAGGCAACCACAAATCTATTTTCTGTCTGTACACATTTGCTTATTCTGGACATTTCCTACAAATGAAATTTTACAAAAATAAGGTCTTTTGGAATGGGCGTCCTTCACTTAGCATGATTTTTCAAGGTTCATCCATGTTGGAGCTTGTATCAGTACCGTATTCCTTTTTGCCCCTAACTAATCCCCCATTATATGAATATACCACGTTAATTTATCCATTCATCACTTGATGGACATTTGGGGATGTTTTCACTTTTTGGCTGTTATGAATAGGGCTGCTTATTTGTGTATACATTTTTATGTGGCTGTTTTTATGTTTTTCTTTCTCTTGGCTATAGACCTAGGAGGGGAACTGTTGTGTCAGTGGTTGATTTGGGGCCTACCCATTTGAGGAACAAACTATTTTCCAAAGTGGCTACACCATTGTACATTCCCACCAACAGTGTATGAGGGTTCCAATTTCTCCATACCATCAATAATACTATTTCTCTTCTAACAGACAATCTGTGTGATATCTCCTTATGGTTTGGATTTGCATTTCCCTGATCGTTCATAATGTTTAATGTCTTTTCATGTGCTTATTGACCATTTGTGAATCTTCCTTGGAGAAATATCAATTCAGATACTGGCCCATTTTAAATGGAGCTATCTTTCTGTTGTTGAGCTGAAAAGTATTATTTAAAAAAAAATTTGTTTTAACATTTATTTATTTCTGAGAGCCAGAGAGAAACAGAGCATGAGCAGGCGAGGGGTAGAAAGAGAGTGAGATACGGAATCCGAAGCAGGCTCCAGGCTCTGAGCTGTCAGCACAGAGTCCGACGTGGGGCTCGAACCCACAAACCGCAAGATCATGACCTGAGCTGAAGTTGGACGCTTAACTGACTAAGTCACCCAGGTGCCCTGAAAAGCATTAATCTTTGCCAACTTGCTATGCAGCTTGGAACAGGTATCCTATTCTAACAATTTGCATGTATTATTGGTAAAGGCAAACTTATTTTTTTATATATTATTGATCACCTGAAATTTTTTAAAATTTATTTTGAGAGAGAGAGAGACAGAGAGAGAGAGTGTGTGGGGGGGGGAGGGGCAAAGAGAGGGAGAGAGGGAGAATTCCAAGCAGGCTCCATGCTGAGCATGGAGCCTGATGCAGGGCTTGATTCCATGACCTTAAGATCATGACCTGAGCCAAAATCAAGAGTCGGAAGCTCAAACCGACTGAGCCACCCCGGTGCCCCAAGGATTGCAATGTTTCACTCTGAAAAGTTTAAGAATTTTAACCTAACAGTGTTCTTCCCACCCCAGCTGGTAAAATCCCTGAAATCTGAGTGAGGGCTCTGTTCCTTTTAGAGGCTTATCTTTAGGTCCTGCCCACAGAGGGTGCCGTGGTTACGGCCCAGGAATGGCTGGTGGGCAGCACTCCGTGAAAAGATGCCCTTTCTCTCCAGTTGTGTCACTGCCTTTCCACTTGGCCCCACCTCTGCCCCAGCCAGGTCTGTGGCCTCCACCCCAAGGAGGGAGGAGTTATTCAGAGCCCTAATCTCAAGGATTCCCCATATCAGTGGCCTTTGGACTAGTGGGTCAGACCCGGGTTAATTTACAATGTTTCTCCTTCCACAAGATTTCTCATTCTTACTCACCAGGATTCGAATTACACAGATATTCAGAATCTGATTTGGACTGGTCTTAAAAGTTAACATCTTTAAAACCACCCAACGATCTCTGATTCAACATAAAAGTCAGAAAACTATCTTTTTCCAGATATAAGATTAAAAGGTCTTTACTGTTAAGCTAATGGAATACTCAAGGCCTAAACTAATGGCCCTCCTCTTTCCTTTATACTTTCTAAAATTACTATGAAGGGGTAGCTTTATCTGGATGGCTCGATCTGACTCAAAAGTCACATGGTTCACCCAAGCTGTGTTCCATTTTACAGAGAAGCTTTAATAACGAATTCCTTTATGGACACTCCCAGAGCTAAGATAAGCTGCCATTCCAGTTCACGGATAAGAACTTTTTCCTACTCCTATACTCTACCCAACTTCTGGCTAGCCCACAGATGCGGAGTCAAGTTCCTAGATAAGAGAGAGGAATGCTTAGGATTAGATATGACTGAGTAATTAGAACCAAAATGACATTACTTCTTACTGACAGGTAGGAATGCTGGGCCAGCTGGAAACACTAGGAACACCCACAGGACTGTGGAAGCTTCTCGGAGCCCCAAGAAGCAAATCTGGGCAAGACTGCCATAAAGACCCCCTGGCATCTCCAGAAGCTGCCAGCTGTCCACTGGCCCCTTCAGCGGTTCTCTGGGGACCCACAGTCCTCGACCATGCCTCAGTTCTTGGTGGGTTCCTAACGGGATGGAGAGCTTCTGCCAACTGGAACGAAGGTTTGTGCCAGGGCCCAAGGCAGCACCTGTCACACCTGCTTAACCTGGAAACCGGGAATAGGGAGGCGGTGGGGGCAGAGAGCTGAACTGTCCTGGCCTCGAAGGTCATGGTCTACAAGTCCTACAGTGAAGTGAGCCTTTCTGCCACACAGAGTCTGTGTGTGGACATTTGCATCAATGTTAAAACGCCGGAAGACGGTCCAACAGCCAACACCCAGAAAAGCAAATACCGAGTGAGGCCTCAACTTCATCACAGGGCATGTGTCATGAGTCAGACGGCCAGTTGTGGACCGTGCTACAGCATTTGAGATCCCACAGTCCTAAGGTTTGCAGGTTAAGCGAGCTACTCAAGGCAGGGAGGGTGGGAGCCAGACTCGAGCCCACGTCCCTGCTGCCACTCTAAGATGAGCTGTGAGGCAGTCAGCAGCAGGAATGCGGGGCGATGTTGGCTGGGACAGCTTGCCTGCAAACCCCCAGACACCTCTCACGTGCTTCCCAGCTGAGGGCTGCCCAACATCACTGTGCATACTTTGGGCACAGTGACCGGGTCCCCCTCTCCCACCTCACAGACCTTGACACTCAGTGCTCCCCTACCTCCTTTCCAAGAAGAACACTGACCTCATGCCTGGTCAGTTGGAAACTGAAGGCCCCTGGCCCTCAGAGGGACTCAGAGTGAGCACCTGACAGAGGATAATCAGAACTCATGAGGAAGACACCTTCATTTTTCCCCCACTGGCCTTTGCCACCAGCAG